GTCAAACCTTGTCTATGGTAGGAGTGTGCTGATATCATTTTTCTTAATTTTTTAATATGCATATGGTATTCTTTTGCTTGTTCCCATGTTCAATTACCCCAAAATTGTTGGTCAGAGGGTCTTTGCTTGGTTGGAGGCCATTCGTTTTGAAAAATTGTTGGATAAAATTCACTCATGTTTAATTTCAGGGATTAATTTTTTTCCTTTTTTCTGTATCAGGGATTAATGGATGGAATTAAAAGTGCTTTGAATAAGAGGAAGGAGGATGAGGAGATTAGTGCTTTGAATAAGAATTCGGATCTATGGATTCCCATATTCTAAGCATAGACCACCATAAGAATTCGGATTTGATTTATGCATTATAATTGAGAGATTTAACAGTTTGTAATTCAACTTTAGGATTTGAATTTGAAGTACTTCTAGAGTTTGAATGCTGTTAAAAAAAAAAATTATTGAGTTTTCTTGTTAATCTGGCATGTGACATGAACTTAGCGGCTTATGCAATCGTTTCATTAATTGGATTTCAAATTGGTATATGTGAATATGCTTATTCAGATGTCGATGACCAGTTTCATGTTAAGGATACTGTAAGTTAATTAAGAATATCTTTGAAATGTTGTGGATATTGGTGTTCATTGCTTTTTTAATTGCAGATCATTGCCACCGGCCGAGGCAGAAGGGAAGAATGGCCATGCAAATGGATATCCCTAAGTTGAAAGCAACATCAACTCTTCAGAAGAAGGGAGAGGGGATTGGGATAACATTGAACTGCTGAAAGATAAGTCAGTGAGTTAAAGGAAGTGATAAATAGAAGAAAACCCCTACTGCAGAGCTATAATGAAAAATAAGCGGAGCTGTCAATGAAGATCAGAGATTGGATTCTCAATTTCCAAACATTTTGTAGACAGTTCTGGTACTTGTGTATTCTTTAGTTTTCTCATTTGATTTGAAGTTCCAAATTTCGGAAAAGCCTCATTTTATTCCTTTATGTAAATTGTTAGTCAATTTTTCCTTTATGTAAATTGCGATATTATGTTGTTCTTTCTTTCGTGCATATAACTCTAGCTATAAAAAATATATGTTTATGAAAATAATGGAAAACGTGATTATATGTAATTGTGTTCTTTAATTACTATAGGTTTGCCTCTAATCAAACAAATAAATAATTTTTTGTAAAAGAAAAAAAAAATTGCCTTTTACAGCTTGCACTTCCGTGCCGTAATAGAATTGCCTTTTACGGCATGCAATTGCACGCCGTAAAAACTATGTTAATGGCTTGCTTTTCTTTTTTTTTACAGCATGCATTTTAGCATTCCGTAAAAAGTGAGATATTTTTTACGGCGTTCTATAGACGGCGTACTCTGCACGTCGTAAAACGTACACCACTTTTTACGGCATGGCTTTATATGGCGTGCGGTCGCACGCTGTAAAGAGGTTTTTACGGCATGCATTGCA